AGCCACCATACAGTGAAGTACACAATACAGTTTCAAAAGATACTTGTCCAAAATAATGAAGTTAGCACTTTAGCACTTGTAAAGAGTTGAACTTTTAATTGTTTAGAGATAAAGATATTTTATTCACAAGTATACTAGTAGTAAGATACCTGAGGTTTGTTCATATGATAGATTTTAAGATTGGTTTCTTTTTTTTTTTTTTTTTTAATGTACATTAATCATCTCTAGTCAGAGTTCGGAATAAAGATGACTGACTACAGGTAATTTTGGATGATTTCATTATACCCTTTATACTTCTAATAAAAAGGCCTTAACCTAATTTAACCTACCCCCTGAACTCTGAGAGTGACAATGTAACCAACTACATCTGTGTAGTGCCTTTTAAGGAGTTGGGCCTGGGCCTCAGTGAGGAGCAGATTTCAGAAGAGGAAGCACATAACCTTACAGATGGTTTCAGCCTGCCTGCTTTGAAGGTAATCTGCCCGTGGGAGAAAAGGGCTGAAGGTAATCTGCCAGTGGGAGAAAAGAAAAGGGAGAAAGGATAGATGCCCTCAGATTGTGCCTTTGCTATGAATGTAAACGGGACACCTGTTTCCTTTTATTGTTTGCTGATCGTCATCATAATAGCCTTTCTGATGTTTGTGAAGCTGTCTTTAAAAGTTGAGAGCAGCATAAAGATTGTATGAGGATATCAGAATACTTAAAATTCTTACTGTAAGCATATCTTGCCTTAAATCAGAGTTTATAGATAAGTGAATTTACATTAATAGAAAACCATTATGAGTGACTTTATGACTATTTGTTTAACAAACATGAGTAAAGAATGTATAAGATCTATATCTTCCCTTGGAAAATCTACATAAAAAGATATATTTGACTCTATAAGAATTAAGCTTCTAAATGAAAAAAATTACAATGATTTTTAACAAAGGTAGATATAATTCTTTCTATATAAAGAGCACTAAGTTATGTAAAATCTAAACGAGATAGGTCAGGTGCATGAACTGGCTTCACGAAGGAAAATCTAGAAATGGCCAATTCAGTTTCAGGGCACCTGGATGGCTCAGTCAGTTGAGCGTCTAACTCTAGATTTTGGCTCAGGTCATGATCCCAGGTTCGTGGGATTGAGCCCTTGTGTCAGGCTTTGTGCTGGGCGTGGAGCCTGCTTAAGATTCTCTCTCTCCTTTTACCCCTCTCCCCCACTCACACATGCTCTTTCTCTCTTAAAAAAAAAAAAGAAAGAAAGAAATAGCCAATTCAGTCTCATTGGTAATAAGTAGACATTTTACCAAGGATATTGAAAGTTGGTAATATTCATTATTTGTGAAGATCAGGGAGACATCACACACTACTAATAAAAGTATATATAGATTGGGTCACTTTAGCAGTTAATACCAGTCTTCAGAAAGATATGTATTCTTCAGTAATCTTAAGCTTAAAGGTAAGTAATCAGAATATACTCAAAGCATGTTCATGATATTACTACAACAGCAAATATTGGAAACAAAAAGTTAAGTAATATGAGATTGATTGGTATATTCTTTGGAATTAGTAGTAGAAAAATTGTATGATGGAAGAAACAAAATAAAGAAAGCAAGTTGGAAAAACTGTGTGTGTGGTAAGATTACAGAAGTTTATTTTTAGTTCTTGTTTTTTGAGAAAGAGAGGGGGCGCAAGTGAACAAAGAGCAGAGCAAAGGAGCAGAGAGAGAGAGAATCCCACAAGGGGCAGAGAGAGAGAGAGAGAGAAGCGGGGCTCACCCAAAGCAGGGCTTGAGCTCATGAACTGTGAGATTAATACCTGAGCTGAAGTCAGATGCTTAACCAGCTGAGGCATCCAGGCGCCCCTATGTTATTTCTTAGCTATTTCCTAGACCAAAATGGTATAATTCTGAATTCTAAACTCTGGATGCATCACTGACTCTTTTCTTTGGACTTCTGTAGGTCCATTATTCCTATGTCTTCTTTTCTACTTTGTGTAAAATTCGCAAATAATTCATCAAGGAATATTCACTTACAATACATGTATCTCATTATCAGCACTTCTTTTCTGGGATAAAACTGTTCCAAAATATATACTGGTATTACATGCTGTATTGGTATTAGAAGTTCCCACATGCCATGACTGCATAATTTGATCTAACATTCTCAACCAGTCTTAAGGGGTTAGTTCAAGCTCAGCCATATTCATGACTTTGGATAAAGTGAGAAATTTAACCAGAAGTTAAGATAAACAAATCTGTCGTTTGTTTTGAATTTTGATCAATTTTTTTATTGATGTAGTCCGTTTTTCTTTTTAGGTTTTATTTCAACTTTGGGTGGCACAGAGTTCAGAGTTCTTCAGACGGTTAGCTCTGCTACTTTCTACAGCGAATTCACCTCCTGGGCTCTTACTTACTCCAGCACTTTTGCCTCATCGTATTTTATCTGATGTGACTCAAGGTCTACCTCATGCTCATTCTGCCTGTTTGGAAGAGCTTAAACGCAGCTATGAGTTTTATCGGTACTTTGAAACTCAGCACCAGTCAGTACCACAGCGTTTATCCAAAACTCAGCAGAAGTCAAGAGAACTGAATAACATTCACACAGCAGTACGCAGCTTTCAGCTACATCTGAAGGCATTGCTGAATGAGTAAGTTTAGAAGCCAAATAAGAAAATGTCCCCATGATCAGCAAGCTTCATTCTCATGCCATTGTGATAATTGGCTTGTGTCCCAGCTAGAAAGTAGCAGCAAAATTGAGACATGCAGCATGAAGGATAGTTTATAGCTATGAATGCAGCAAAGAAAGAATGATTTGTAAGTACTGTAATTAGGGGCGGGGGGTCATTTATAGTTTTCACTTTGTCTGATTTCAGCCAAAAACCTAGAAACAGAACAAAGCAGGTGTTCATTCTGTTTGAGAGCTGAAATGGCGATGTTTATGAAGACTGGGCTTGTTTTAACTCTCTAAGTAGGGCCCTTAACTGGAACTGCAGTCTAAGAAAAGTGTCTGCCGGCACTGAACAGTAAGTTGTAAGAGCTACTGTTATATATAGTTGAAGAATAGCATATGACAAGTTTTAAAATTAAAGCAGATTTGGACATTTTCTGTATCAGAGGACCAACTTTTTGGCCCCAGTTGAATAGTAAAATGCAGGGTCCATAGTTTATATTTGTTTATCTTCTACTTTGCCTGGTATTATTGGTACTCCGCCTTGGTCAAATGTAGGATCCAGTCATTCCAGTGAAATTTTTCTGTAACAGATACTTGTGTATAGGACTGGATCAGATGAATGATTGGGTTCATGTTGTGTTGGTAATCAGGAAGGTCATAGTAGTTCAATGAGTTGATGAGATTGTAGTTGATGTACTTGACCCTGGATACCAGGCAAGAAGTAGAAGGGGAGAGCAGGAATCAGTTTTGTAAGATAAAACAAGTCAAAAGTATTTGAAGTCTCCATAAAATCAAAGGGCTAGTTCGCTGGAGTGAGGAGGGATATGATGAATAAGAATAGGAAATTAAGGTGAGAGATCTTTTGAGGAGGTAAGTTTGTACCCATCTGTTCAAGGTCTGAGGTATATAAGGCTGCTTTAAGGTTAGGGATAGGGGAAATTAAGAAGCTGAGAGGCAGTGATGTTCCAGCAGTCTCTAGTCTCTAGCTACTATCCTAAGAAAGTAGATGAATGAATGCTAACCTGACTCAGTCTTGTCTCCCACAGGGAATATGGGAGATGAGGCAATCTCTACTTGAGTGGGCAACAAAAGTCGGGTCTTTGTCAGGAAAAAGTTTCAGTGGAAATGTTGTACTAGGCAAAGCTAGAGTCTCTAAAGAATTTTTGGCAATAGTATCAGAACTACACAGGACATAATGGAATGCATTAGAGTGAGGGAAGATGGCTCGGGGAGAAAGGCTGCACTGGATGGATGTGAACAAGAAGGGCTTTGTGCTTTGGGCAGAGACTGTGGATTATGCATGGGAAGGAAGTCTTCAGTTTAAAAATGCAATATTCTATATATGCTATTATACATCACCTTTCAAACAGAGTATACCAGTCACAAACCATCATCTCTGATATATGCTCTGTAGCACTGCTACACAAAATATTTAGAAGTGTTGTCTAAACATTTGTGTTTCACTCCTCCTCACTTGTCCCCGTTGCTCTTCCCAGTTGCCAATACTAGGGAATTAACCCTTTAACTGTTCTCCCTGCCTCCAGAGAGTCACTGCCAGATTAATGTTTCTGAGGCATATATTTGCTTTCTCCCTTAACCAAAAATCTGCACTGGTTTCAGAGTATAGCAGCATAAACTAAAGTATGTATAAAACTTTCTTTTGAAAGGATTTGCTATAACTCTATTATTGTCTGCCTTTCAGTCTTTCTCATTCTTTTCCTTCAGTACAAACTGCATAAATGCCTTTCCCCATGTACCATTTAGAATGGACTTTCTCATCTTTTGTACATGTTCAAATTTTACCTGTCCTTCAATGCTTCCTCAAAAGTACTTCTTCCTTAGCTAGTCCCTGTCTGTACCCATAGCTGGTAGCACCTTCCCCCTCTTCTGAATTCTTACAACACTATCTGCCTGAAGTATTATAGTTTTGTGCTTAGATTCAGCCTGTATTTACAGCTAACAGCTGTATAACTCTGGGCAAGTTTCATCCACTGTCTGGACCTAATTACTCATCTGTAAAATGGAAATAAAATGTTAGTTATAATATAATATAAATATATATAATTTATAAATATATATTATATAAATATAATGTTAGTATGATTTTATGTCATATTTATATATATGTATAATTTCCCTGATTTAGCTATTTTTCCTATTAAGTATAAAATGAGCTTAATTTATCATTTCAGCTCATAAAGTGCCTCATATATGTAAAAGAAATAGTGTTGAATAGGTGATACTCTTTATGAACTTTTTACAACACTGTGATAAAATACATGTAACATTAAATTTATTATTTAATCATTTTTAGGCATATAGTTTAATGGCATAAAGTAAATATACCTTGTTATACAGCCATCACCACCTTCCATCTCCAGAACTTCATCTTTTAAGCTTATTTCTTAAATAAATAAGCCTTGTGAGTTAAAAATTTTCCACTTAATATTTTAGAAATCAGTTTGTTTTTCTTTATTACTCAGGGTAATAATTCTTGAAGATGAACTTGAAAAGCTTGTTTGTACTAAAGAAACACAAGAACTAGTATCAGAATCTTACCAAATTCTAGAACAGAAGTTAAAGTTGATTCAGCCCCATGTTCAGGCAAGCAACAATTGCTGGGAAGAGGCCATTTCTCAAGTGGACCGACTGCTCCGAAGAAACACAGATAGAAAAGGTACCAATGACTGCTTCCTTTCATATACACTTGTCAGACATGCTTACTCCACTCCAGTAGGATTTTATTAGGTAGATTTCTCATCTCCACAATGAAAGTGACATGACAAAACTTCTTAATTTACTAAAAGAAAATTGAACTTATACGTATAAATTGAATATAAAGTCTGGCTCTTATTTTGTAAACAATAAGTGAATATAATTTAAAGTTCTCTGAATCATATACCTCCTTTTAAAAGACTTAAGTGAAGGGCACCTAGATGGCTCAGTTGGTTAACTGTCCAGCTTTGGCTCAGGTCATAATCTTGTGGTCCACGAGTTTGAGCCCCACGTTGGCTCTGTGCTGACGAGCCTGCTTCAGATTCTATGTCTCTCTCTCTCTGCACCTTCCCCACTCATGCTCTGTCTCTCTCTCTCTCAAAAATAAACATTAAAAATAATAATAATAATAATGAAGGAATAGATTTTAAGAGGTAGTATTTAATAATTAGAACTTTTAGGAACTCTTTTTCCATTAGTATAATAATGAGTGTGATAGTTAGGGGCCAGAAATTGAATATTGCTTTTAAAATAAAACAGTTCAGTTATTCATAAATAGTAAATAACTGCTATAATAGGTGGTGCTGCATGTTTGTTATTGAGGGTCTAAAATGTATTAAGTGCCATTATTTAATGGTAACATTGGAATGCCTTGTATGCTAAGCAAATGGGCAATCTTCAAATTTTCCCTAAAACTGCTTTAATTTGACCCATTTTTACTAATCACTAATTTCATTATATATATTTGGCATATTAATTTCTGAACTTGTGTTACTGACCAATACCATGTTTATCCCTTGTACCTTTATGATAAAATTAATCAGATTTATGTATAGAAATTGTATTGCTGGCAAAGATGATTAATGCTTTATCATCCTGTTAGTCATTTTATATCTAAAATGTAATTGGCAAGTAAGTTTTTTCTTCAAAGGGTAAATTTGCCAAGGATTTTTTAATATGTGCAAATACTTATGCATGTTAAACTTTCTGATATGACTTAAGTCTAGAGCTTTTGAGTACACTTTCTTTAAATAGAAACATTCAGAACACCACTGGGTATTAAAAGATACATCCCATTCATCCCTCCCCTTAGCATACACAGATGTTGAATGTTAGACACTTAAACATAATTGTTAAAACCATCTCCAAATCATTGGGCAGGTGATAAGCCATTATGTTCTCTATATGTGGCTTTTGCTTATAGATGATAACGATAAGAATTAAAATCAAGTCATTCTCGAACTTTTCTCTGTAAAATGCTCCTAGTGGCCATGGTTACACAACTTTGAATAAAATATTTTTATGATTTTTTTAAGAAGCAGGTGCTTTAGCTCTTAGCTTGTTTTTTTTTTTTTTAATGTTAATTTACTTATTTTGAGAGAGAGAGAGAAAGTGTGTGCACATGCACATTTGTGCAAGCAAGTGAGGGTCAGAGAGAAAGGGAGAGAGAGAATCCCAAGCAGGCTCATGCAGAGCCCAATACAGGGCTCGAACTCGCAAACCGTCAGTTCATGACCTGAGCCAGAATCAAGAGTTGGATGCTCAACCAGCTGAGCCACTCAAGTGCCCCAGCTGTTAGCTCTTTTTAAGTTATTTCAAAACTGTAAGAATATCACAATAATTCACAGTACCCTTCATCCATATTCCTCACTTGTTGACATTCTACCACATTGGCCTTACCTCCTTGTGTATCTGTGTATACATTCTTTTGGTGGTATTATTCTGAACCACTTGAGAGTAAGATGCAGACATGAGACCACATTACCCCTAAATCTTCTGTTTGCATTTTTTAAAAATGGACATTCTCCTACATACTCACAATATACCATCAAAATCAGGACATGAGCACAGATATAACATTGCTCTCTAATCCACAGATCCCATTCTAATTTCACTGATTGATCCAATAGTAATTTTATATGTTCAGATTACACCTGGCATTTAGCTTTTATGCTCTTTATTCATTATAGCTTTTCTTATCTTTCATGATAAGTATTTATTTCAAAAAAAATACCTTGAGGTTATATAAATATCCTTTCCTCATCAAATATTTACTCAATATTAAGCATATACAATCTATATGACGCACTAGTATTCCAAATATTTACTCACAGGATATAAAAATTTAATGTTCACATGAAAATCTATAAACAAGTGTTTATAATGACTTTATTCATAATCACTAAGAACTAGAAGCAGACCAAGTGTCCTTCAGCTGGTGAATAGATAAACTTTTTTATCCATCCACACAATGGAATACTGGTCAGCAATAAAAAATGAAATGAACTACTGATAATATCATTAAGACAGAGGAATCTCTAATGCATTGTGTTAATCAAAAGAAGCCAGACTCAAATCACTACATAGTCTATGATTCCATTTAAATGACATTCTTAAAATAGTAAAATTTAATAGGAACAGCAAATGTACCAGTGGTTACCGGGAGTTGGATATGGAAGGAGGAATAGCATAAGAAATGTTTTGAGGTGATGGAACTGTTCTATATCTTAGTTGTGGTGGTAGTGGTGATTGTATGACTAATTTGTCTAAACTCATAAAATTATATACAAAAAAGAGTGAATGTTTTTGAGTAAAATAAAACAGCTTAAATTTTTTTCACCCACTAGTTTTAGCATCCATTGGTGGTTCCTGCCTGAATTAGATATTACTGTGATGGTTGGCAAATGGCAATTTTCTAATTCCATTTTTCCTTTTACACTTATTAGTTGGCATTCTATTGTGAAGCAAAGCATCCCCCTTTTTTACTTAATTTATGTCAATATGGATGTATGGATTCTTATTTTATTCTGTGGATCATAATTTGTTATTTTGTTGCTCAAATTGTACAAAGTTTGACAAGAGGGAGCCCGTTTAAGGCTTGTGTCATTTTTTAAATCATTTTTTGATCAGTTCTTTATACTTTCCTTGCCCCTAGCCCTAATATCAGCCATGTCTCCAACAAGCCCTCATTCCTTTTAATAGAAAAATGGTATTTAGAAACCAAGATGTGGGTGCTAAGTATGCTCATAGCCACTGGGATGTTATTGTTTTTTACCAGTATTCAGTATAGAGGGCAGTGAAATATATCTGTGTATATACACTTATACATATATATTTCTACATCTGTCCATATATGTTGTAAACCATGGGCTCACACCAATACCTCCAATTCAGTTCCATGGTTCTTTCTGTCCTTCTCCCTCTGTATATTTGTACCACCATGAGAAACTTGGCTCTCATTGTCTTTAGTATTAACTAATTTATTCAATGCCTTGTATGTAAGCAGTCACCTGACAATATGGACTATCTCCTAAGCCACATTGCTGCTGACTGACACCTAATGAGAGTCCTTCCCATCCTGTCTCATTCCAGTCTAGCTTGTTTTGTCCATATTAGCCCTTGACAGCCAGGAGTTTCCCCCAACCCTGGTCCCAAACTGTTATCTATCATTAATTTTGAAAGGTAGAAATCTAGATGTTTAAAGCCTAATTCTTTTTTATTTTTAAGTTTATTTACTTTGAGAGAGAGAGAAAAAGTAAGTGAGCGAGCACGAGCAGGGCCAGAGAGGGAGAGAGAATCCTAAGCAGGCCCTGCACTGTCAGCACAGAGACCGATGTTAGGCTCCCGCCCACGAACTGTGAGATCGTACCTAAGCCAAAACCAAGAGTCGAACACTCAATTGACTGAGCCACTTACACACCCCTAAAGCCTACTTTTTTTTTTTTTAATGTTTATTATTTATGTTGAGAAAGTGAGCAGGAGAAGGGCAGAGAGAGAGAAGGAGACAGTCCCAGGCAGGTTCCACAGTCAGCGTAGAACCCAACACAGGGCTCTAACTCACAAACTGAGGGATCATAACCTCAGCCAAAACCAAGAGTTGGATGCTTAACCAACTAAGCCACCCAGGTGCCCTAAGCCTAACTTCTTTTTAAGTAGAGAGATAATAGTGAAAGGTAGAGAGCTGGATATGAGAATATGAGAACCCTGTGATTAGATACCAAACACCAGTATTAAGTAATTAAAGTTAACATCTGGGTGATCTTTTCAAGATATTACTTGTGAAACCCATTTCCAATTCTAACTTCTGAGAATAAAAATAATATAAGGGAAATGTAAGATTGAAGTTTATTTTTTGTGGGGAAGAGTGATCATCTGTCTTGAGACTTCCCATGCCATGAACAAAAGTTGATTTGTTTAGCGAGTATTTAGAGAGTGAGTACCTTGTGTACCAGATACTATGGGAGGTGAAGAAGGGAGAGAAAAACAAGTTTCTCCTCCAAGAGTTTAACTTAAATTGTAAATCTACTATTACCGTTGTTAACTTTACAATACTTTACAAATTGAAAGTTATAATAAGAACAAGTTGGCCTATGAAATTGGCAAAATATTAGTACTAAGAATGTTTTTTTAATTAGATGTTCACTCATTTCTGTGTGGCCTGTTGCTTTTTAAGGCACACCTGAAATGGTATGTGAAAACCCACGTTGTACTGTGGTACCTTTGACGCAGCCAGCTCTACACATCGCAGACAAAGATCCAATCCCTGAGGAGCAGGTAATGGTGAAAACTTTTTTTTTTCCCCCTAAAGAAGAGTTTCCCATACAAAGCTTACCTGTCTTTCTCTGTAAGTGGTGTGGATAATTATTGAGTAAGTTGTTAAATTTGTGTTTGTGATGAGCTTCAAAATTACAATACAATATATTGAACTGATATCAAATAATTAGTTCTTAGTACCTTGAGTTTGAATC